AAAAAAAAAAATTAAAATTAAAAGAATTAAATGTAAAAGTTGTCATGTAAGTTAATTTCTGTAAAAATTAAAAGCTAGTAACAGAAGGCGCTGTCGGAATCCATCTTTTGAACTTGCCCCTGAGGTGCATTGCAGGACCGACCTGGGCAACTGAACTGCTCATCTTGCTGAATTTAAAAAATAAAGAAATAAAATACAAGTTTTATCACTGACCCTCAACATATACGATTTTATGACTGACCTTTTTTACTTAGCATTTTATGTTTGATGGAAGGGTGCTTTCAGTTGTCTCAAGAAGCTTTTCACTGAAGAACCGCTTTTTGAAGTTTCTTTTTCATTTTTGATTGAAACAGCAATTTACAATTTCCCTAACGATATCTCTGTTCTTTACTTATTTATTTACTACTGTTTTCATTTATGTTGTTTCTATTTTACAGCTTTCTCCTCAGCTCCTAGCATTAAAGACTAGAGCTTTTCAGGTTGTTTTGCTTTGGAGTTGCTATCGCCAGTATACTGAATCTGATCGTTGCGTTTGCATTTCAATATCATCCATTTACGGACGTGGTGGTGATGGGAATGCAGGTCGTACAGGGCTTGGCACTGGTTAGTTTTCCATTTGCAACTGTTCTATAGGCGCATATGAGTGGTGTACATCATTGACGCGTGCGGTTGCGTCGCGGTCCAGCGTTCAGGGCAAAGTATGTACGAAGTACTCCGTGAAAACAGGTACACGGAATCACTTAGCTATAGTAATCGCTTCACAACCCCACGCCTCTGGATACTTTCACCATGTACATCTTTTTTCTGAGTGAACCCTTTGCAGATATTATTTCTCATAACTTCAATTTACAACTTACAAATTTTCAGGGTGTCACCTATCCTGCAATGCACGGCGTCTGGCGACACTGGGCTCCACCACTGGAACGTTCAAAACTTGCCACCACCACGTTTACCGGTAGTTATGTGGGAGTTATGATCGCCTTACCTTTGTCGGCCGCTCTTGTCAGTTATTTCTCATGGTCAGCTCCGTTCTACGTGTATGGTAAGTTCTGGAATACCGTGCCTGAATCGAATAACTACCGTATCACTTGGCATACAGGTTGTTCTGGAATTTTATGGGCATTGTGTTGGTGGTATGTGTCTGCTGCCACACCAAACGATCATTCCTATATCACAGAAGAGGAACGAAATTACATTGTGGAAAAAGTTGGAACCGTCGTCATGGGAAATATGACGGTAAGTTCTTTTGATTACTGTACATTTATAGGGACCAGCGTTAATCAATAATCCAACTGAAAAAACAGCTGTAATCAGGAAAATATGGCCTCCCTTCACCAAAGGCTTTCATCGCATGAGTGCTTGAACGCTCCGAGAAATTCCGACCTCCTATACCCTTTATGTTTTCCCCATTTTGGCAACAAGATTTTGCTATCCTATCCTTCTGCGCATCAACGTCCCCCTTTCATTTTCAATTTCCTTCTCATTTAACTCCCACACCTTCCCAAACCTCACCAGGTTATCGTAAAAAACTGGTGGAAATCCCAGAAAATCGTTCCAATGTGACGTTTTAGCTGACTACTGTCCCATGGAAAACCATTCTGCTCTCGTTACCTGTGTGGGCAATCACAATTTGTAATTTCTGCCGTTCGTGGACGTTCTTCTTGTTACTTGGCAACCAACTCACCTACATGAGAGATGTGCTCCATTTGGACATTCGTCACGTAAGTTTTGATACTTCTAAGCTGTGAAGGAAACCCCATCCCAGAGATATACTGGGTGGTGCTAGGAGTTTTGGGGATGCGATACTTTCCTATTTGGTCACTTCTGCTTCCTTCCTATCAAGTTTCCTTGAACAGGCCTAATCTAATTATTCCTCAAATTTCAGAGTGGCTTAATCTCAGCCTTACCGCAACTGATGATGGCAATCGTTGTCTTGATATCAGGACAATTGGCCGATTGGCTACGATCCACTGGCAAGATGAATACCGGCCCAGTAAGGAAGATGTTCAACACCCTAGGTATGGTAGTTTGTATTCACAGTATCTGTTGTTGAAGTAGTTCTTGTTAAGCCTCGAATAAATGAGCAAGTTTAAGTAAATCTTTCTGGCAAACTGCCAATAAGTCACACGGGATTAGCCACAACTAATAATGAGCAGCTGAAATGGTAAGGCATCGAACGAATCAAAGCTTGGAATAGCCTTTCCATTTTTGTCGAGTTAAACTGAAAGCGCCAAATAAGGTCTTCAAGGTATTCTAAAAAACTTTAGAAAAATTCAATAAATAAACTTCCTGGGGAAGTTGGTCCTATCTAACTCAAAAGAGCAGAGGAAAGCATTCTTGTCATTAGCGAATTTTTTACTCATCGAATTTTTTTTTTGATATTCTAACCAAATCCTTTTGGCCGATACATTATCTCAGAAAAATAAGAAATACCTCTCCCATATTCAGGATTTTCTGGCGAAGCCCTGTTTCTGGCCTTGTTGGCCTTCATCCATGACCCAACACTGGCTGTCTTCTGTCTTGTGAGCGCTGCCACCTTAAGTGGAATGAACGTTGCCGGTAAGCCCTATATATTGTTTAGTTGTTTATTTATCCATTCGAACTACAACAGTGTGTCTTTGAAACCTTTGAACAAAGCCACCCACAACATTGAAGGTTGCCTGTTGAATATTGATTCCTTTAAAAAAGCATCGGTCGTCGTTTAAGGAAAATCAATAAATCGATTTATTTGCTCAGGATTCAACGTGAATCACTTCGATATTGCTCCTCGTTATGCATCCATTCTAATGGGCCTGTCAAATGGCTTTGGAGCACTAGCAGGCCTAAGCGGTTTCATCACACAGAACCTCACCGTCAACGTATGTTCATATTGTTTTGTATTTTGTAAACAAAAACTTTTTATTAGTCACAGACTGAGAAGTTCTTGCTTGCCGTAGTTCTTGAAGGGAAATTTGGTGATAATACTATTAGTTTTACACGAAATTACTACGTTCTCGGCTTTGTCGATTGGTAGAGGTCAAAGGAGAACATATCAATAGGGGTCTGATGAGCAGAATCTCTCGCTTTGATAGTAGAAATCGAGAAGCCATCTATTTCCTGTTAAGCTGTGGACTATCAGAAGTTTGGGATGAGGAAAAAATGATTTATGACAAGTTCGCCACGTTAATTGTGTCCCGCATGCTGTGCCGCGCGCGGTTGCGTCGCGCTCACGTGATAAACAGGAAGTCAAGCCATGGTTTTAAAATCAGGGCTAAGATTGTGCATCTAGTGGAGAATACAGCTACAAAAAAATTCAAATCAAGGAAATGGTGAAAGTGAAAAACTGAATAGTTGGATCGAAATTTTCTCTTCAGAATCCTGCCGGCTGGAAATACTGCTTCCTACTCGCAATGTCTGTTGATATTTTCGGCNAAAATCAGGGCTAAGATTGTGCATCTAGTGGAGAATACTGCTACAAAAAATTCAAATCAAGGAAATGATGAAAGTGGAAATCTGAATAGCTGGATCGAAATTTTCTCTTCAGAATCCTGCCGGCTGGAAATACTGCTTCCTACTCGCAATGTCTGTTGATATTTTCGGCATCTTCTTCTTCTTGCTATTCGCCAAAGGAGAAGTTCAGGTAAGCCTGGGAAATCTGTTACTTCGAGAATAATCGTTGTAGATTAGGACGTATGTGGTTGCGGAACGGTTTTGAGATAATGAGAATATACGCAGAAGTTCATTATTCTTCTACGGAAAAACCAACTTAAAAGCATTCTGTTTTTAGGACTGGGCACGTGAGCCTGAACCGGAAGAAACACTAGGAGAGTTCGTCAGACGAATTTGTGAGTTATCAACTTTTATTCATCCGCTTGATCAGTCTATTTATTCAATTATTTGATCAATCACTATCCAGTTTGGGTAGTTAGCAAAAACATCACGATAGGAAAGAACTATCATCCATTGTAATAGCTGATAGTATCTGATAACTGTCGCTCATCGAAATATTTNTTTCAGCCACACTGGTCCGCAATATGTCGGGAAAACGTCGATCAGCTGGATCACGTGGTGAAGGCTCCCAAATTGACTATGCGCGGTATGTTTTGTGGAAGTTACTCAGCAAAAACTAAGCTTTCGTTTCGGACCATAGTGTGCCCTCTTAAAGGTACAATTCACGATAAAAATAGGTTCTCTGCTATCCCCTGAGAAAAGTCTTTGCCCCCACCTCCGCGTACTCCATATGTGGCGCCGCCTGACTGTCAGATCGAGAATGGGCCTTGTATTCGACTTTAATGAACTAACCTCCCTTTTTCCTTATTCCGTACTGTACTCTACGGCTATCGAGTATCATTTCGCAAACTTTTCCATTTTGGGAAGATTTCCCGGGTACAACTTTGTGATAGTTGTCTACCTATCTGTAGTAGGCTTTACTAGGGGTGTGACAGTTGTTCCTACCCTATCAAAACATCTTTGGAACTACAGAAGCTGCCTAGGGGCACATCAGCAAAAGGATATTCTTCACGTGACCTATATTTTGTGTTTCAGCATGGAAGAGGAGCGCAACAACTCGTCCGAGATGGAACCAAGAAAAGAATCAAAACAACCTGAAAAAGCGCCGCCAGAGGAGAAAACTCAGGAACCCAGCAAAACCACGGATCGACCAGAAGTCGTTTAGAAGACGCACCACTTCATAGTGGATTCAGATCGAGACACTACGGTTCCACCTGAATCCATAGATACTACGTAGAAGACCATAGCATACCGTTATCGTAACCGGTCATAATACAGTAATCCGGAGTTTCTAATGTTGCATAACTCGCAACCTGCGTTAGCTTGTTCGTGGATTCATTGTATTCTTGTCCATCTTTCTCATGTCTATAACCGGGTATCCAGAGAAGCCCAAAATCTTTCCATTATGTTAATTTATCTTCTCGAAAGGATCGAATTATTTTTTACAGCTGCCTAGTTATGTCAGAGTTAGCTGGTCCGAGACGCGCGCGGTCGCGTTGCGGTTTTGAGTTAGAGCATGGTATCTCTAGCATGGCTATTTGCAGCTAGGACTAACTAATTTACTAATGTCTTCATGGAATTCTTATCGTACAAACTTTGTCTAATTTAATCATTCTGGATTGTATTTGTTTGTTTTACATGTTCCGTAAAGATGTAGTGAGATGGATTTTGGCGGCCGGGTCCTCAAAAAGACCCCATGTACCGTCGAGGTCGCCGCAATTCTTATAAGAGCTTATATTAAGCGTGTAAACAGTAATCTTTCTTCAAAGTGTTTTTCTAATATTTTTCTTCCAAATATTCTATTATTGCTAGTCTCCTCAGGAACGACCGTAATCACTATATTAGACGGAGATTCATCGCATGAATCTCACATCGATGCAGTGTTTATCTAAACTTATTTGTTCCTTTCAATCCCTCTGTTCTCATCCAACTGAATGTAGTGGATTTCTTCGATTTGACATATTTAGCCATATTTTCTTGCACATATTTTTGACATGTCGTGACAACTCGTCGTGACTATTCCAATAAACGCATTTCACAACAAAGTTCTTCGAACACTATCGATTGGTCAGCGTATGTCACGGCGATGTCTCTCTGAATAGACCTGGCTGAGGCGAGATCGCAAAAATGGGAAATAGATCTCCGTCGAACGTCCAAAGAAAGGGTGGCGATGTGAAGCTGTGAATAGATTCAAATCATCAGAAGAAGCTTTCTTCGAGGGTCTTTGAGCTGGAATGTTAAATTGAAGCAAAGCAATTGTGAAGCAGGAGATTGCAAGCCGTGGTTGGGCACTCTTACAAGGTTGGCTGAGTATGGGAAATAACTTCTCATGTGAAAGTCCGTTTATACCGTCACAGTTTCGTGACGTGCTCTTTGGATCAAGGGAGAGCAGTTAAAGGTAGAAAGACCAACTCAGTTAATTTATAAACAATGGGTCGGATATAAGATACACGAGAGTGGGCAAGTTCCGAGACTAAACTGGGAATCGTTATGAGAAGATCTTTCGTTGTTATTGCAAAAGCTATTGCTTCTTAATGCACGTGTATGTCATGTCGATATCTTTTGGACTCTTGGATGTGCACGACACTGGACCAAGCTTGTCCGAAATGAACGCAACGTGCACCATTGTCCCGACATCTGCTCAAAAGATCCTCAGCTGAAGAAGCTTAGCGAAATTCAGAATTGATTAGTCCCTAAACATCAGATTCCCAATAATCAGGGCATGTCTACTAACAAAAATGTCGGATTTCACGCAGAGGATCGGAAAAGTTGAAGAAAGCATCCTCAAGTGAGTCTAGCCACTGAAGTGGAATGCAGCCACTGAAGTTATCGAAAATTTCCTTGGGTGCTTTCAGTGTGCCTTACCGAGATCATGCTTCACAAAGAGGTTACCCTCGTGGTGACATAGCATATTTACGTTCGTTTCTCTAGTTCAAACTTTCATGCCATGCGAAAGTCCTACAATGCAAATGGGGATCACACTCCAAACTCGCCACTTATTTTTCTTCGATTCAGAAAAGGTTAGTCATTCCTTGACTCGACTAGGAGCATAAAAGATAAGTCAGCTTCGATAACTCGTCAAAATGGTACCCACTTAGGCTACACTCTGTAGGGGTGCTCTTATTCTTTACCCAACATCTGTGGATTTCTATTAAGTAAACGAAAACTAATCAGACTCATTTCTGACCATTTTGTATGGAAACAAAACAGTAAGC